TGGGTAAAATTTGATGCAATACCCACAATTATATTGTGTCCGATAAGTAAATTACAGTGCTAAAGTCGAAATCTTTTACAAAGATTGTTAAGTAAATTAGTGTGTTCATGTGGGATGCACGGGAATATTATTAAATTAATAATATTATAAATAGACTTCGAGTTTGAGTCACTCAATAGCGGAAGTGGAAACTACTATTGATCATATTTGATGAAGAAAAAAAATTATTATAAATTAAAGAGGAGGATAAACAATACTTAATAATTATAAATTAAAGATTCGGGGTCAAACAATGTAAAATTATTTTGTAATAGAGAATATAAATTTACATTATTTTGTATGGGAGAATATAAAATTTGTATGTTTAATATTAAAAACACCTAAAATATTATATTACTATATGTAAAAGTATAGAAAATTTTCTATATTATTTTTGAAAGATGTGAAGTAACCTACAATTTTTCTAAACAATTTTAGAAGAAAAACATATCTAAAAATATTTAAATTTAACATTGTGTAAAAAAATTATAGATTATTTTGTAAAGAAACATGTCTAAATATATTTAAATTTAACATCAATTATTTATATGTGTGTATGTATATATAAAAATATGTATATATAGATGAATATGTAAAAAAAATGTCTAAACAATTTGTTTAAAGTATCTAAAATATTATAAGCCTAATTTAATAAAGACATTATATCAGATGATACCGAATTTATATCGTTACTTTCATCTAAAAAAAAAATTGATTACACACAATTTCAAAATTATTATTATACTTTTTACGTTGTTATCGAGGATGTATTGTTAGCTTATAATATTTGAAAAAATATTAGTAATTAGGCTGATGAAAATTAGCTTTTTAAATTAGATAATGGATTTCTTTTAAGGTAGATAATGAATTTCTAGTAGCAGTTATGAATTGTTTTTATTTTTTATATTTTAAATCTGTATAGATAAGGAAAAGGATGTGTTTTTTTAAATCAGATTTAATGTTTCGATTTTTTCGCCTATGATAACCTAAAAAACAAGAAAAAGAAAAACAAATTTTTACTCTCAACAGTATTGATAACCTAAAAAACAGGAAAAAGAGAAACAAATCTTTTACAATTAATGAGCCGGTTTTTTTGTCTATTCAGAATTGTCCAACAATTACTATATGTAAGATATATTTAATGATTATGGCGGGAAAGTATTTCTAAATTTATAAAAAAAATTATTCTTTTTATTTAATGATAGATTTTGAAATTGATATATAAGTTCAAGGGTAAATTCAACTAGATTTTTGTATGACAAATTATTTGTTAGATTAGTACGAACTCAGCGCCAATTAAATGTACAAATTCCGACGTAATAGTTCCGTAACGGGAGACAATAAAATCTCCCATATATATATTTTATATAAAAATCAGGTCCCTCCACTTCATGTGGGGCCACATTTTCTAGCCTTGCCTACAATATTTATATGACCCCTAGCCCTCTACTCCAAAGCCATCCCAAACTCACTCTTTTTAATACTCACTTTTCACTCTCCACCACCACCACCACATAATAACACACACACCACTAAAGTTGGTCAAATTAATTTTTTCTCTATATAAAATGGCGGATGTTGGCGGTGGCTCCGCCGTTGGCCGGAGAATATGCCATATCCCGGAGAAATTCCAGCTTCACTTGGCCATGTTGGCCCTCCAATTCGGCTACGCCGGCTTTCACGTCGTGTCGAGGGCCGCCCTTAATATGGGCATCAGCAAGATTGTGTTCCCTGTTTATAGGAACATTTTGGCCTTCCTTTTGCTCTTGCCATTTGCCTACTTTCTTGAGAAGTAACTTCTTTTTTTTTTTTCCCTATTAAATTAATAATTTTGTGTCCCTTTTATTAATATTTTTATTTTTATTTGATTAATTAATTAATTAAATTTGACAGGAAAGAGAGGCCGCCTATAAGTTGGAGCCTTGCCATCCATTTTTTCCTCCTTGCCATTGTGGGGTATGAATATGATTAGTAAATATTTTCTCAAAAAAAATGTAATATGATTTGGGGAAATGCGCAGTCTCGTCGTCGTAAATAGTTGATGTAACGGTTATAAATTCCGATGGAATAGTTCCGTAACTTAGAATCTTCCAATGATTTGTTTGAAACAAAAAAAAAAAGAAAAAGTATAATAATATTTGTAACGTAATTTATGTGAAAAAATAAAATAAAATAAAATTGCAGGATCACTGCAAATCAAGGATTCTACTTGTTGGGACTGGACAACACATCCCCAACATTTGCTTCGGCAATTCAAAATTCAGTGCCGGCCATCACCTTCCTCATGGCCGCCATACTCAGGCAAGAAGTTAGCCCTATCTTTTACTCTCAAAATATTATTGTTTCACGTAATTATTAAAATGAAAAAAGAACATGCAACGGATCTCGTCTCCCCCCCAAGAGTTGGGTGAATGGCTTGACCACGACATCCGAGGGGTATCTTATCCTCGACATGTTACAGCTTTGTAGCTTCGGGCCTGTGGCCTTCTTTGTATCGTGTTCCCAATTTGATCCCACAAAGTGGGAGAGTGTGAGTGTTCACTAAAACAAAATATTCATTTTTATCTCACTTTCTCTCCCAACAGGATCGAGAAAGTGAGGCTTGACAGAAAGGATGGCATCTCGAAGGTGGCCGGCACGCTCCTGTGCGTGGCAGGCGCGTCCGTCATCACCCTCTACAAGGGCCCCACCATCTACAGCCCTTCCCCCCGCCTCCAGCTGGCCGCCGCCCTCCAGTTGCCGCCACCAACCCTGGCGGCGGCCGCCTCCGGCAAGAGCTGGACCCTTGGCTGCATATTTCTCATCGGCCACTGTCTGTCGTGGTCCGGCTGGCTCGTGCTCCAGGCACCCGTACTCAAGAAGTACCCAGCCCGACTCTCCTTCACCTCATACCAGTGCTTCTTTGGGATCGTGCAGTTCCTCGTCATCGCGACATTTGTCGAGCGGGACCCACAGGCCTGGCTCGTCCACTCCGGAGCCGAGCTGTTTAGCGTCTTCTACGCCGTGAGTCGTGTTTTTTT